GGGCTGACAGTGTGAGCATGTCTTTTCTCGCGCCCTGAGGCCATACATACCTGAGTTAGCCAGTTTTGCTGCTATCCTGGCAAAGGTTTAGAGCACACGGTGAGCTTATGATTGCAAAGCTGCCTCCGTATGAATTTAGTCTCCCATAATCCTATCTGTTTGACCTTGTTTTTCACATATTCCTGGCAAAAATGCAGGGACGTTGGCTAACCTCATGATATTCTGGACCCACTCAATCCTGCGCTATGTGGACAAAACCTTAAATCAGGATATAGGTCATTTCATATCTGGATACAAAAATGTCTATACTGCATGAATTTTGGTAAGTCAAGTATAAAATACATTTAGAGTATTAGTCTATTTAAATATCCACATGAAGCCTATTTCAATATAAAATGATTGAGTATATTCCCAGTTGATTAGGAACAAAGATGAACATAGCCGTTTTGAGTAGTAATAGAGAAAAGAATAAGAAATATGTTTCAGCTATTGATGACCATCTTCCCATGTAGCATACAACATGATTGGGAGTATGTATGCAACAGTTAAACAGCAAAGTTGAATGAATAATAAATAAAATCCTGCACACTGTTTACAATTTATTTGAACCTACATTAGGGTTCCAAGTGGAGCTTTACATTACTACTGCATTCTGGTAATAAAGATCAAATGTAAAAGAAGCTTGTGACAGAAAGTTTTCCAATTGTTCGGTCGGGCAAATAAACCTGCAATCTTCAAATGATATTCTCTCAATCATTTCACATTTCATTTTCTGACAAAATATGTTAGTATTCTTCTAACCAAGGGATTTGAGCCTTTAGACCATGTACATGCACAGAAACCTGTATAACACACTACAAGAGAGGGGAAACCCCAGAAAGCAGAATAGGGCCTCTTCAAGAATGTATCGTGATATTTCAATCTATGATTTCATCACCATGTGATTGCGTTGAGACAATAAATGAGCACATTGAATAATGGCCCAGAAGGAGTGTGTGTGAGTTTACAGCTGCAGAGACTTCTGAGTCACACTTCCCCCCCCCCCCCGCCCCCGATCGATACAGCCCCTCCCCGCTCAGCTGTTCATCATGCACACTGTCTCCTCTGCGCCACCTCCCCTCCAGCCTTGCACTTCACTTCTGAGAACAGAAAGCAGCAGCCCCCCCCCCCCCCTCTTGAGTTCACAGGAAGTCTGGCTCAGCATGGAAATGACATCATCAACAGGGTGAAAGAGACAGAATTCAGTGGAGTGTTATCGTCACGTATGCCTCTCAAAGTCAAACCTCAAAGGAGCTTTATTGGCAGGACCATATCAAAAACATAGTATTGCCAAAGCATGATGTACAAGGTGTTACAACCTCAAAATAACAATACTAAACATACATGGTAACGATACATGTGGCACAACAGCAACACCTTAAACATACATGCCAACAATAACTTATCATTTAAAAACAAGTCAAAGTGTGTGTGTGTGTGTGTGCGCGTGTGTCTGTGTGTCCCTCTATCCCTCCAGCCTTTGCTCCAGCAGCCCCCTCCCCAGATATGATGTGGTGAGGTCATTGGCTGTAATGTCTATTACACTGATCTCACTTAGTCATGGGCTGAAAGAAAGACTGGATAAAGCTCACAGTGAACGCATTTCTAACCTTGACTTCCTACAGCTGCCCAGACCACAGCATGCCTTTCTGCCCATGCAGGGAGAAGTGTTCAAATACTTTAGCCTTCTAAGGTAAAATGACTTATAATCATCTGTTATAGTAATATCAATATCACTAACAGTTCAAATGTATTAGCTTCTAAATATACTTGAAGTAACACAGGTATGCAGAGGCCGATTTAAGAAACAGAAATACTATTGGACTCATATTTTGTTGATGTACATCACTACATTAATGTTGCCGCTGGTAATGGTTGAGCTTAACTTAATTACTTTTTATACTGCTGGGTATGTCAACTTCTAAAATATAATATTGTATTAGTTTATATTATAATAAATAAATGTATATGTTTAAATATTCACATAACGAGTAACTTAAGTTGTTTAATACATATATTAAAGTAGGTATCAACGTGTAATGGAGTAGAAGTATAACGTAGCATAAAATAGAAATACTCAAAGAAAGTATTAAGAAATTGTACTTAGTAAGTAAACTTGCTTTCTGCTGCTTTTTCTCATTCGACTGAATTCTTTACAGCCAAAATGTCTATTTTTACAGCTTTTTAGAGAAACAGTGAATGGAAACTGATTTTTATATTCCTAGAGTAAAACAAGAACATTAAAAAGAAAACGTTCTCCCGTTAGATTCTTGCTAATAGGTCCTCCCAAAGGCCTGCCCCCCTCCTTTACAATACACTACGTAAGCAGCAGAGCCTGATAAACAGAGCAGTGTGGTCGCACTACCATACAGGGTGAGGGCTGACTCCTCTGTATGGTAGAGTATGCTTCAGTCTGAACACACACTGCAACCTCACACAGTATGACTTCACAGTTCTGCAG